CTTTGTAAGTGACTTTGTAAGTGACTTTGTAAGTGACTTTGTAAGTGACTTTGTAAGTGACTTTGTAAGTGACTTTGTAAGTGACTTTGTAAGTGACTTTGTAAGTGACTTTGTAAGTGACTTTGTAAGTGACTTTGTAAGTGACTTTGTAAGTGACTTTGTAAGTGACTTTGTAAGTGACTTTGTAAGTGACTTTGTAAGTGACTTTGTAAGTGACTTTGTAAGTGACTTTGTAAGTGACTTTGTAAGTGACTTTGGCTCACAATCCTAAGTTGAAAATGTTTTCATCCATAATAACGTACTTATGCAAACTTGGAATCCTACATTGGTAAGAACTATGTGATCCGTGCTCACCAAGAATATGATATCACGCTTTTTCCCCCCAAGTGTAATCTAAAGGTTAGAGAACTGGTATATCCGAACTAATTCTTCAGTTCTTTATTGTGCACCCTGTAGCTTAGCCATTTTAGGTATAAAGGATTTTTTCAAAATTTTGCAGGTCCTTTTCCGTCAACCAGCTCAGTCACCTACCACCGAATATTTACAAAGAAAATAAAAACCTAGAGTGGCTGTAAGTAGAAAATGATTCAATCTCTAAAGTTACAGGAACTCTGTATTACTCATAAGTGATCGATATACAAGACCAAAGGTGAAAGATGTTTCATTCAGAAAATAATTTCAAATCAGTAACCTTCATCTTTTCCTTTCTGGTGGATCAGTCGGTGATCGAACGATCAAAGCTCAAACTCCAGATTTGGAACTAATCTTCCTCAAGACATCTTGGTAAAGATGTTGAAATGTTTTCGTGGTTTCCATTGATTCGTCTTTTACTTGCAGCTAGTTTTACATTGGGTTAGTTAGCAGTTGGCATTCATGATCCGTGCGGACCTACGCTGTTTTATTAAGGGAAAATATTACACAAAATTCCGTCTGCATATATTGAATAATCATTTAATGAAGTAGAGGTGGCTGGTGGTGAATATTTAGCAAGCTTCTATGCAACACTGAGATGAATATTTGTCTTAGTATGGAGCAAAACAGGATATGATATAGGACAAACATTTTATCTTTGACTCGACTATTCCTACAACGATTACAATATCTTTGTGTGCGAATCCCGCGCAAATTGCTCGGAAGTGAATAGAAAAGGATGCTTGGTGTTAATAAGCGATAGTCACTGTATTCTACAGCGACTTAAATGTACTGTACATAAAGGCGTGTCTGAAACCATCTTCCTCATTTTACAACTCTTCGATATTTGTGTCGCCCACGTGTATCCACACTAAGCCAGTTACCAAAAGACTTCAAAGACAAAGAAGAGCCAAACAACAGACAAGGTGCCTTTATATGGTCAACTTCTCAGACTACCATGTATCTTTCATCGGAAAACCTGCCCTGGAACCTCACACGCGATTGAGTGAACACAAACGAGCGACAAGAAATACTGACGTGAAAATTCAAAAAGGTTGAACATCGTCGACTCGCTAAGGACGCTATGACTTGAGACTCTACCTTACCTACAGTGCCGACTATTGAAGACGATAAACTCTGGAAAGCTGGTTCACTAACTTAGAACAGACACTCTGTCAGATGCTGACAACTGCCAGAACATTACAAACGACATCTGCAAACAACTGGAACCGAAGAGAACGACCATTATCGAAATCGATCAACCACGACCGAGTAATGGTAGTTGAGTCTTAC